TTTATCCATATTWGCTTGATTGATACCAAAAAAATTTACTACCGTGTTTTCTATGCGAATTAAAAAACTGATAAAACAATAAACATGGAAGATCAAGATTAAAAAAAATAAAAATATTAATATTATAAATGCRTATTTTTTGGGATTTGATGATTTGTAACTCCCCATTAATTGTTTGGGAGTTACATATCAAATCTATTTACTGAAATACCCTTGTAATTAAAATGTGAACATGACATAAACCTACAAGAAGAATGGAATTTGATTGGTTGTCATGGTTTTCAAAGTTAACACAAAATTGTTGGTTAACATTTGATCTTCCCCCTATATATATATATATAAATATATATATATATATATATATATATTGATGATTGTAAACACAATTCATTTTTTATTTTTACATAATAAGATTTGTTTTGCAAAAATAAGGTAATTCAAATAAGATAACCTTATTACTCAAGCCTCATGAGCTAACACAATATAAGATTTGTTTTGCAAGAATAATGTCATCCAAATAAGATAACCTTATGACTCAAATCTCATTAGTTGACACAATGAATCTCAGCATTCTTTCTTATACACACATCCTTATTCCAATCTTTCAATCTCTCACCAATGTGGGATATCTCAAACTCAACCACAATTCACCAACACTTCAATACTCAATTCTTATGATGTCACATCAATACTCTTGGTTCTTCTTTTAATAGATAGAAGATTGTTTTATTATTCTGTTGGAAAAGGACAGGTATTCCAAGAGAGAACTAATAATTGTGGTAAAAGATATTCGTAATATTTAGAATTAATGGATTCGTCACTGGATATGAATATATTTGTTTTTTTAGAAATCATTATCATTTTGAATGTGATAGACGTTATCCTCTTGATCTTTTTGATCAAGATTGCTTTCGGCTCTCCTCGAATCTAGTATAGTTTGTTATTCACTTTTATCCCTTTATTTTCTCTTTTTAGTTGTATCTCTGTTATTATAATAGAGATCTCTTTGTACCTTTCGCATATGATGTTAAAAGAATTTTTTTAGTAAGTGCATTTTACATCACATGTGATGAACATTATGTGTGTTGACACGAGAAATGTTACGAGTCATTTAAGTGTTAGTCTATTATTATCACAGCTTCATGAAGACTGTCAAACATTAATCGAGCGGAATGTGATTATATTATTGAAAGCCCAAATGGTTTGACAAATTTGATCTCAAACTTGTCGGATGGTACCTAACTAGAAAATTACGTGTGATAACCCTAGAGTAGAGGTGGCCAAAATTCGGTCCCGGGCCGGGCCTAATCGCGACAAAAACCGGCGGTAACCGGTCCCGACATAACCGGTCCCGGTCCCGGTCCCGGT